TGTTGTCACGGTCCTTCGAAACTTAACTCAAGATTAAACTAAACGAAATGATCTTGAAGAATTTTAATTTTTAATTTCTTACTTTTAAATCCTATCCCACATTTAAAGCGTAATTTAAATCATATGATATAAATAAGGAAAGTTATACAGGATGTTTGGCCACCCTTGGGAAAAATTTTAATGAGAGATTCTGGAGACCAAAATAAGACAAAAATCAAGAATACCAATTTGTTGATTGAGGCTTCGTTAAGAAGTTATTAACAAAATTATTAATAAAATTTGTCCATCTACTCGAATTTTTTTCTCGAAAGTGCGTAGGATTTCGAGGGTATATCTATTCACCAAAACTGATTGTAATTGATCCCCGCAACCGAAAATAATTTTTTCTGAATGATTTGAAACTTTTCAATTTTCGATTTTCGATTTTCCTTAAAAATTCGTTTTTTAGTCATTTTGTTTGACGTCCTACAGAAATGTTGTCTAATACTTTTTTATAGGTATCCATGGCCCCTACTTCAATACTAAATTTCAATGAAATTCATTGACTATTGTAGGAGTTATGGTCGTTTGAAGATTGGACCATTTTTATGAGGTTTTTCGTACTTTGCGCATTTAAGGAACAACTTTTCGAATAATTTTGGAATTTCTACATATTCGTCGCCAACATACGCGTCGATTGCATTTTGAAACATTAAAATCCTTCAATCCGTTCAGAAATTATGACATTTTAAACATTTGCATGAAATTTCGAAGAAGCATTTCTGGTCAAAAATGATATTTTCAGTAAAGAATTTTTTTCTCGAAAGTGCGTAGGATTTCGAGGGTATGTCTATTCACCAAGAATGATTGTAACTGATCCCTGCAACCAAAAATAATTTTTTTAGAACGATTTGAAATTTTTTAATAACTTCTTGACGATGCCTCAATCAACAAATTGATATTCTTGATTTTCGTCTTATTTTGGCCTCTATAATCTCATTAAAATTTTCCCCAAGGGTAGCCGAACATGTATACACAAGATCAGACTAAATAAAATTGTCTTCATGAATTTGAATTATTAATTTTTTTACTTTTAAATCCTATTTCAAATCTAAAGCGTAATTTGAATCATACGATATGAACAAAGAGAATTGCAAACATTTAAAAGTTATTTCTACATGTGAAGAGTAACATTAAGTACATTTCCATTGACACGGTTCAAACGAATTTTTATTTGTAACAAAGACTCCAATTACTGATCCTTTTCAAGAAACTATCATTTCGTGGGCCATAGGTTGAGAAACGCTGCTCTAAAGCGTAGAAATGCAATGATGCATATTTCAATGCTGACCTATAGAACCACCTATAGAACTAACTATAGTAACTATTGTTTCAGTTACCATGAAATAAGAACAAGTTACTGTTTTACTATCATGGAGATCGATTCCCCGCAAACGGAACAAGAATTCTTCGTAAAGGTGAACGTTAGTACTTTTCGATGTATATGTAACAGTGATTCACAGATTTTATTCGAGTAGAACCGATGACTGTATAGTATTAATTACTCTGTTAGGATAACGAAGGTCTAATGACTATTGGACAACAGTACTGAAAGTGTCACGATGATTTACTCTTAAAAACAAGATCTATTGATCTTGCAAATGATACCTATAATCCGTTTAGAACTTCCACTATACCAATCTGTTAGTGTCTACTATTACTATAGTGTAAGTTGGTAAATTAGTATTATAATAGTAGAAGAAATGTAACATGTTTCGAATGCTATTAGTAATCTGGAATATTACAAAGCATAGTGATGCTTTTCTGCTACGTGAGTTACAGTGAAAACAAAGGAGAAAAATGGGTGCAGTGTTTTGTGTGTGAAATGAGAATACATTATGAATGTGTTGATTATGACTCTGGAAGTTGCACCCTGTGACTGTAACCACTATAAATAAACGTTAAGACTTGGAATTTAGATGATTGTTCCATTGCTGATTGGACCATAAGGGAAAATAATTTTATTGTTTCTCCATTTTATTGAGCGAAGATTATTTGGAAGTTTCAGATACTTTGTATATTTAATTATTATCGAGAGTTTAGAATATAAAAGTTTATAGATTTCTGTGTGATACATACAATTTTGTTTCCATCCATTGACATAATTTTTTACTCGTCCTAAACAAACTAGTATTCCATATATGCTGCACTTCCTCTATTGTTGCATCAAATTCACTACTACAACAGTAGTATTTATTACTATCTACTATTATTATAGTATGTGTTAGTACATTAGTTATAAATACACTACTTTCTGACTATTATTACTCAATTTTAGTATATAGTAGTAAGATAAAATATTATAATATTACTAGTACCATCTAGGAGCACATCCCCCTCTTATAGTAACTTGCTATACATTACTGTAGTAGCACACCACACATCATTACATCAGGATATTATAGCAATGCAACACAATATTCTAGTATACACGACATACTATAGTACCATATTACTACTACATCCAACTATATTGCACTATAATACTATGTTTCCGGGAAGATATACTTTACACAACGCTATAGTTATTAGAGAACTATGTACAAAACTATAGTACATAGTACTCTATTAAAAAATCTACATTATGTATAGAACTATAACAGCAGACTATTGGAAACGTACTAACAAGGAAACATACGAATCTATCGCCTATTTTAATGAGGTTTGACACACTGGCAGAATAACCAAACATATTTTTTTTATTTACCTATTCAAAATGGGGACAATACAACATACTTATTCGAATATCTCACTAACTATTAAAAATATAGAAAAGGTGTAAATAGATGGACTGTATATATTTTTATGACAAATTTGACTATACAGGCAGATTGATAAAAAATTTATTTGTATAAATTATATACCAACAAATTGCATACTTTTCACAGCACTATTACACTATAGTAATATGCTGCTGAACAAATAAACTTTGTATAGCACTATAATATGTTACTAAAGAACTATAAAATGTACAATAATACTGCACTGTATTCTATTATAACGATAATACCGTATAGTCGTATAATATTTTACTGCAACAATAATATTCTAATCCCTTGTTTACCAAGCTACTATAGTAATAATAACGATAAATGTGGTAATAATAATAACAACAACTATGCCGGTGAAAATCTGTGAATCGTTCTATAGTAAAAACGTGAATACATCAATTTTACACCTCTTCGACACTGTTTTCAATATCAAGCAAAAACTCTCTTGAATGAAGAATAAGATGCTGTCATGGGAGTGACATTGGTAAAGAAAAAGGAAAAAAGAAGAGGTTCAATGTCCTGATCAAGGTACACCGACACACATCGTGTGAAAAATGATTGGTATACATATACATATGTAACACATTGCGCCTACTGTTACATAATCTGTGGCATGTGTTCTCAGCAGCATGCAGTGCTAGCAACCGTGGAACGAAGGTCGCGAAGTAGTTGACGTGACAATGACCTTTCCTGGTTTGCTGTGTTTAACTTTTACCGTACAATGATTCCGCGGATTGTTCGGAATGATAACGTAACCATTCACGCGACGGTGACGCGCGTGCAAAGAATCGTTCGAAACGAAGTCTAGGAAAGAAACGTTACGAATGATATTCGCTTAATTTCTGGTATTTAACATTTAATAGGACTTGCATATAATATTGGACACATTGTTTGGCAATTAAAAAACATTTCCTTTCTTTTTAATCGAACTCACATGGACTGCGTATATTATAAAGGTATTACACTAGTATTTCATGTTTATGACTGAACATAATTTATTCCAGTACTGCTCATTAACAATTCTATTACATCCTGATTCACTTATGAGATAGAAATGTAATTTGAATAATTTCCATTACTAATGACGTTTCTCTTTTAATTATCGCAATATACACGTTTTACTTATAAGAAACTCCATTAGAAAACACAAAGCTACATACTGTATCAGAGTAACGTACAATTTATCATGAAAAACATGTGTGCGCATTCCGAGCGATAGAAGAAATGTTTTCGAGTACAACGACACATCGTATCACGTAAAAAACATTCAATTAGATATTTATTAAGAAACAAAGAGAAAGAAAAACATTTCATAGCGACATCGACAGGTAAATATCGGTATGGTTTTTCGTACCTTCGAAACCCTCGCCGGATACATTCGATAACTTTACCGGAATGTCTAGGGATCGATTTTAGCACGAAAACGACGCAGCAAACAAACGGTTTGATAAGAACATTGGAGCCGCCGGTCGAAGACACCCGACTCGAAAGCGCCGTACGAGCACGATGCTCCGATTATCTGGTCTGTTTCTACCAATAATTCATGGGTCACGGGTATAAAGACGAAACTGCCCCTCGAGATAATCGCATGCGGCGAGTATCGCGACAACGCCTCGTCTCGCGCTGATAACGCGATGGAAATTATCGACCCCGGTTCACCGACGGGAGTTTGTTTTGAACGTGCATCCTCGCGCACAGCCGTCGCCAATAACGACGATGGAACGGGTCTCCTTAACGGACGACGGTGGCGACGGCGTCGTCGACGAATCCGAATCGTCGATGATGCGACGGGCACACGTACGAGATAACAGGTTGCTGCCGAAACACAGGCCACGTATCGGAAGCTAGCGTGCGTTTCGTATTATACACGACACGACGACACCGCGACACGAGACAATCTCCTTCGAGAGCGCGCGCATCGCCCATTGTTTCGACGCGGCGGCGGTGATACGGGTAAAAGCGACCGGATAAATGGCGACTTTCCCCCCTCCGCTGTCGCGGCCGCCTCACGGGTTGTAAATCTCTCACGCGACACGCCGAAACGCACGCGTTCGCCGTACCGCGTTCAACGTACTTTCGCGTTGCGAGAAAAAAAAATATAACACCGCGCGGACGGAAACTGGACGAACGCCCAGCGTTCAACCGGAAATTAATGCACCGTCGACCGGATCTAACGTGTAAACTACTCACCCTGTGGCCAGATTCCTCGAGTCGCTGCCTCTTGGAGTGTGGTCCGTCTCCGTTGAACGCCATCCTGGGGCTCGGCACCGGGCAATTACTTTTTAAAGCGGGACACTCGGTGCTACGACGACACGTTCGTGTGTATACCGCGCGGCTCTCTACCGTGTCGACGATCTCGTGCGCGGGCGGGGGAGGGGGGGAGGAAGGAGAAAATAATCGGTAGGACACGACGCGAACGCGACGAGAACAGACAAACGCGCGAGAGCGGCTTAAGGGAAACTGGATCTCGGTGTTGCTGGAGAGGAACGTCTCTGCCTCTAGCGAAGTAGCCGGCCACTGCAGCGCTATCTATCGACGCCGCGACTCGAATACCGACGAATCCTTAGGGCGGAATCGAGCGCACGCGCCTCCACGATTCGATCCGTGTTCTGATTGGTTCGTCGCCCACTCTTTCATGTAATCCGCCCAATCACGGGACCAACATTAAATTTATACATACAAATGTCACATTAGCCTAGATATAAAATGTATAGCGGCATTTTGTTGTTGTATTTGATATTCATTGCGATCGTGTAAAGGAAAGGAAATTAAAATGCATTATTCGTCACAATTGTAATTAAATAGTATCGTCCAATCAAAGACACATTGCAATCTGGGGCGACTTTGATTCGTGGACGCGGGAACTGTAATTACGAGAGTGTCTTCCATAGTAGTGTTTCGGTTCAAATTCAACGACGATTGGAGTGTATCGAAAACTAATTTAAATCGGTAAATCGGTTAATTACTTTTCTTAGATATTAACACTAAGTTCCGAGGCGATAATCGGCTGTCGAACACTGGTTTTAAAGTTGGTGATAAATTTTTTTCGGATAGATATAAAAATCTATCGAACAGCACGATCGTTTCCACCAATGGTGCCAACATCATTCGCAGTGATCCGAATATTATAACTTGTTGCCAGCGATTCAAATAGCCTTTAATTTCTCGATTATGAATATCGGAATCATCAGGGTGCACATGCATGTTAAAATGTGACGTTGCTGTAATGCAGTACCTAGAAATTCAAGGTATGTTTATACATAATTCTTATATTTGTTAGTCAAACATTTAAATTTTAGATGCAAAATATAAAACACTCAACTGTTGAAATGTCATTCCTTTTGTTACTTTGACATTTCTTAATTGACTATGTTGTAATTTTTTACTTTTTTTTACTAAAATAGTTTCTAGAGCTGCTCTGTATGTATGCACCTAAAAACAATTAATTTAACAACACATCTATATATATGTACTTCCATTGATTAAATTTACCTATTACTTAACTATTAAATCTTCATAATTTCCAGTCTTTAGTTTGTCACAGTATTTTTCAATAGCATGACATGCTACCTCTAACGACGTGTAACTTAATGTATGATTTTTACATAATAACAAGAACTTGCTAAGTGGATAACCCTTTAATCCATTTACTTCTGATCTAGAAATCGATCACATTATAAAAGATAATAAAGTTAATAGGGATTGATTTTATATTGATGGTACAAACTTTAGAGTTAACTTCATATAACAACACCCAACAATACAAATAAATTTGGCTTCACTCCTAGAAGAATAAAGTTCTAACAATAATGGTGCTAAGTCTCCGCAAGGATGAAGTCCTACAAGACCAAATTTAGTTTCTGTCTCGTTTAATTTAAAACTATTTTGAAACAAGTCTTGTAAATGACTAATTAATTCTGATTTATCCAAGTTGGATGATTCCAATTTTGCAGTAAAATGCTCTGGAGTTTTCTCAGAAAAATCAGGTATATATTTTTTAATAGATGCCAATAGTTCCTGATCCCACTTCCTGTGATAAACACAAGATTAAATGTCAACTATAATATTTCTCCTATATTGCAGCAACTTTACCTAGCTTGTTGTAACAATATACAATCCTGTTCGATACAGGTAACACATAATCCATATTGAAATGCTAAAGTACGAGCTAAATGACCCATTCCAGCTCCAATATCAACAATGCATTTAGAATTAGATTCATAGGCACAGTCAGCGCATACCTATAAATATTTACAATGTAGTAAAATGTAAATATCTATACTAGCAAAAAATAATGCATTACTTGGGCTATTTCTTGGATCTCATATCGTTTTTTCTTTTTTATATGTTTAGAGAATAAATTATTGAATTTATCATCTTGCGAATATAAATCGTCAAATAATTTTTTTGTCTCTCTTTCAAATTTTTTATCATCCTTATCAATATTTATTTTTGGTTTATTAAATTCGCAAGATATAAAATTTGCTGGGTCCTCGTGATTTCTGTTGATTTGTAACATGTTAGTCACTTGACGAAGTGCAAGTAACGACATAGGCCACACACGTGTACTGCAATATAATTAAAAAATCGTACAATATACTAAAAGTGAATTTAAATAGCATAGTACCTGTACTCACCACAAGATGTCTCCCGACATCCATTTACCAAATTCATGAGGAGGTGTATCTTGTAAGGTCAACTTCCAACTGTCCGGTAATTTATCCCATAATTTTTCTTCGAAAAAGTCCTACGATAAAAAGTACAACCTCTTCAGGTAATCCAAAACACTATCCGATAAGAGCAACGACACAAATTACGTGCTTAAAACTCATATGTATGTCTGTATGTGTATCAAATTAATCCAAAAAGTAGTTGCAAGATTTATTTTCTATTACGTACCACCACATAAGAATTTAATAGCCAACCGTATATATCTAAAACGCTAAATATTTGGTCAATCGTTACACGAATTCTTCTACAAGCTTTACATCTGCATCGAGTGTCTTCAGGTGCGGCCATCGTTGCAACGAAATGGCGGAAGTTTGATTGATCCGTCCACGTGGTTTCAATTCTGTTATGAATTTGCAAAGCATACATGTTATTTATTACCAGCACTTGTGGTTTATATATAATTATATCCTCGATAATAATTTTCTTCTCCCTAATTTTGTTCTTTTTTTGCATAACATTTCATGATTTATAATTTATTTAATTCATTAAACTGTATAAGCATAAATCAATATGACTATTTTAAGACACGAACGAATAAATCAAGTTTAATACTGTTATTTCTCGAACATATGAGTGTTTACAGCGCTGTAAAGGCATTTAATATGCGTGTAATTTTAGTTCGTACGCAATTTGACGCGCCATCGTTCATGCCGAGCATTTGATATCAATCAAGTACTCGGTGTAGATTATCCGTTAAACATTTTTTCTAGAACCATTCTCCAAGACTATCAGACTGCGCAAGATTTAAAAAGCTACTCTCTACGACAAGAAATAGAAAGTGCAGCAAGCATAACGTCGATTAAAGATACTTTTTGTTTAACACCGCGTGTACTGTCTAATTATATAACGCAGTTATGTGCATATGTCAATATACTAAAGTATGCTTTAAAGGAAAGTTAACGAGGAAGCTTACATTACTGCACAGCAGCCGAATAACGCATTTCGATTTTTGAATACAATTTTTAGTAGAAAATTTCATGAAGACCGAATAAGTAATAAACAGTCGAGCCTATCGAAAGATATCTCCTCGTAAAGTGTCTCGAATTCTAATCAGCGAAGGTCGTATGAAACGAAAACCTTATTCGGCACAAAAGATAAGGGAAATCAGAACCGTCTACTTATTTATTAATTAAAAAGATCGAGTGCTATTCTTGCCGTGTCCCACTTTACGGCACTTTCACTCTTCAACAGTTACGTTATTGCTCATGAGCGCACTGCTCTCGGAGAACTATATACCTACAAACTGTACGGTTGTAGAAGGAGAACTGTATCATCTGCCTCTCTATGTTTTGGACTTTCATGAGAACTGGGCGACAGAAATTCGTGCAATCCGCTCTTAAGTGTTGTTTCGCAAACTGCTGTTGCAATTATTGCTAAACGCTATAATAAAACTACCATCCTACACCTATTGCACTTATCCATCCTTGGTGCACACGAGCACCGCCATTAACTTTGAATTATCCCGCTTCTAAACAGTTTATGGACTTTGCGAAACGAACTATCGTATGATTTTAACATACAATACGAAATAGAAGCACAGACTAAAATTTTCGTATCGATGATAGAGTAGAATCGAAGTTTCCAGGAAACTGATTTACTCGAAGATGTCGTATAATTCGAAACCATTGAACACTTGACCAGATTCTCTTTGCTCACGATGTTCGAATCCCTCGGTGATTATTTGGACCTCTTACGCCAACGTAAGTGAAAGTTTCAAAGTAGGACGAGCGTCGTCAAATCCTGACAGAGCACGGGTATTCGCCAAATGCTCGTCTCCGTTGGTCACCGTGGACCATCGAATTTCATAAATGTCAATGTACTTCTTACGTCTAATTACAAAACCGACGAGTGGACTTTCGAACGCAAAGTGAAAATGATCGTCGCGATTTCTTCGCGCAGGCCGGAGGATAAAGTTCAAAAGTGAGTCTCGGAAAGGACCGAGATGACCGTAGAGAATCGTTGAAACGGATCTACCTCGCTGCTTGATGGATCGGTACAGAACGCGTGTTGCGTAACTATGAGAACTTTACATCGCGAGAGCTTTTGCAATCAAAGGTTTTACCAGGTCATCCTCATTTAACTGGTATTCTAGATGCCTGCCTTTCACATCAACTGAACACAAGTTACGGAAAAAGAGTGCACGCGATCTCTTTAGGTCGGTCGAGCTTGATGGAAAATACTTGGATCGTATCGTCACGGAGAAAAGAAAATGCGGCGCATCTTTTAACAGATTAAAGCTAAAAGAAATATTTCTATAAGTAAATACAAAGAGATAGTGTTAAAATAAACGTGTTAAGTTTAAGGAAGATAATTAAAATGGTGGATCGAAAGGTAAGGTCATCTTCGTACGTTATTTTTCAAATTAAACACTAAAACTTTCGATATAGGTATATTTGAAATAGTTAAATGCACGATGGTTATCCTTTTTAAATATTTAAAAAGTGAAACGAGTAAACGTTGCGCTTTTTAAACCGACTACAAAAGAAGAAGTCTGTTAGGGAAGTCGTTAAATAGAAATATGAAAGAAAGTAGAATTTGTTGTACTTAATATGAAGCCAACAACTACCATCGAGTTATAGGTGTCAACCAACAAGCAACAAAAGTGATCGGAGGGATTTCCTTATCGTCGAGGAAGAAAGGTCATTAGACAGACACCGGAAACGATTCGTTCGCAAGAAATCATTCGCTCGGAACCGCTGTGAGGCTTCAGCGAAAGTAATGATAAGTGCATGCGCCCGAACGTGCGCTTGTGTTGTAAGTTTGCAGCGATAGTCTTTCACCGAATAATTCGGTGTGCACCATTCCAAAGGCGGGCACGGCCTTCTCCTAGAGGGAAGGTGGGTTTCGGTTTCGATAGGCCTTGGATAGGTCACCCGGAGAAGCGACGCTCGGTTAATATAATCATCTTCCTTTCCTTTCAATCGGGAGTCGGATTTAAAGAAAGTCCGCAACGACTCTGCCCGTTTCCCCTTCCCGCTCGTGCCTCTCTTCGTGCACGAACATTTTTTCTTTTTTCGTCTCGAACAACCGCGTCTCTGTATGTCCTGCACGCCACGGCTTTAACGCCGCTTCACACTAGCCACACAAAGTGTACGTAGCCACCAGCCAGAGAAAGGTGCCCCACCGTATTCGATATTAGAGAGGAGCTTCTTGAAGAGCACAGTGGTGGTGGCATCAGGTAGGGAGAAACGGGCCTCTGGGCCCAATCTGTCCTCAGTTCCCATTCGAAGCTCTATTCAATATCATTCAGTACATCCCCGGTCCTCTGGATATCATGTTGCCTATCGTGAATTAGCCGTGCCCGATCAACCGTACACGTGAAGTCAGTGTAGTGTGACTTTAACGATCGCAAAAAGGGCCCATCGAGTGACCGACACGGACACGCCATGCGCTTCCTTCAACTGGTAATTATAAATGAAGCTTGGTGTCGTTCCAAAGCCATCCCGGCGACCGGTGAAACTCTCGGCAGTGTCGCGTTAACTGAATAGATAGTTCATTTAAGAGAACGTGCCCGCTTGTACTTTCATCGTAATAAGCGCGTCTCGTTTCATAGTTACGGGAAACGTTCGACGCGGTTCTATCATTTGTAATCAGTCAGCGTATCGCCGTCGGCTACTTAGCAAGGGAAAGTATGTATATCGAATTAGCGACGCGTTTATGTATGTTTAACAAATCGTTCCTAATCATATCATCTTCTTCGTATCGTTCCACAAATTTCGAAAAGTCTTATCCATCTGGTACAATTACAAAATCGTACATTTAACTTCCGCGAAATTTAATATTGGAACCGCGTAAACGAACTTCATTGCGACCGCGTTCGTCCGCGTCCAGTTTTCTTTTTCTTCAAAGAATATTAAGAAGTTTCCGCTTTAGGAGAGTCACCGAATTCTCAAGGTGAAACGCGCAACGTCGTGAATCTAAAACCTAAATTTTCTCTCTTTCTTTCTCCATTGCCATGTGAAGCAAACGACAAGAATTTCTGTTCTATTCGTGCAATTTACACGCGTGAAACATTCTATATCCGATACGTGCTGTAACTCGGCCCCGCCATATCGGGAACACGATCGCGACTGGGAATCGCTTATCAGGGTAGCAGTAACTGTCCATTCGGCGACGCTAGAATACCAATCGATTTGGCCTCTTAAGGCCTTACAGGATATTTCTTCTCATTATTAATCGGGTCACTCGGTTAGACACGCGCCACCGATCTTTCTATAAATGCTTGTTACGTGTTTGTACGCCGAAATCATTCGTTAATTTGTCACCGTTCGAAGCTTCGATACAGTTTCGCCGTTTCAGATCGTCGTAGCGGCAGCGACCTTCGTCGTTGCGACCGTTGCCAAAGATGAGTCCTCGAAAAGCCGCGATAAGAGACAACAGGTTGCGTTTTATCCGAGAAGAGGAGCCAGACCGCCACCTTACGCGGTTCAGATGGAACCCATTGTTCAGTATTCCCAGAGAGATCCGCTTTACAATCCTCTGGCTAGCTCCAAGAGCGACGATTTCTACGAAGAGGGTCCCTTAAATTATTATCCCACCGAACCGGAGCCGATCATCGAAATTATCATCAAAGAATCCAACGAATCTCTGCCAACGCCGGTACCACCCCCTCCGCCACCGCCGCCAAGGCCTACGAAAGAACCTATACAAGTGTTTTATGTGAAATACGAAAAGAAGAAGGGCTACGGGGATAAACCTCGCGTGGTCTACGATCCGCCCGTACCTGCGTTGACACCTGTTGAAGAACACGAAGAAATCAAGCCAGATAAAGCGGCGCCTTACCCAGAGGAACCTGTTCACACGGCGACACCAGCACCGTCGGAACCTTCAACGACTTTGAGAGCGATCATCCGACCTGACAGTGAAGTGTACCATTCTGGCTCTAGCGGGATTCGCGTTACTTTTGGCACGGACCAAGTGCCACCAAACAACCACAATAAGCGTAGCGACGTGGAGGTATTACCAACTCAACACTCCAAACCAGCTTCCTCTGCTCCGGGTTCCCCTAAAAGGCAACATGGCCCGTACCAACCGATTCAGCCCGTGCATCAAAGAGTACCCTCGGCGTTTCCCCAACAAAGGATCGCAAACTCGTTTCAGCAGCAACAGACGCTGCATCAACCACTTCAGCAGCAACCGCCTCTAAATTTCTTGCAACAACAATCGCCGTTTTCCCCTTTACCGCCACAGGCAAGAAACCCGTTACCAAGACCCCAACGGTTGCCTATAACGATCCAAGGTTTGCCGGAAGTGCAACAACGCGCGCCGTTCAATAACTTCGCCCCGCCACATCGTGTCAGCATCAATCACCCGCAACAACCAGGATTCCCTCCGACGCTTTCGGTTTCTCATCAAAATGTACAGATACAAAATCAACCAGTGTCGATCAATCAAGCCAGTCACTTTAACGTGGATCAGCAGCAACCTTTGCCTGTACATAAACAGCAGGAGTTGGAGAAACAGAGGTATCACGAGCAACGTCGTCAACAAGAACTGCTGAAACACCGTGAACATCAAAGGCAGCACGAGCAACAAAGGCTTCAGGAGCATCAGAGGTTTTTAGAGCAGCAAAGACAAACAGAACAGCAGAGACAGGTCGACCAGCATAGACAGATAGAACAGCAAAGACAAACAGAGCAACAGAGACAGGTCGACCAACATAGACAGATAGAGCAGCAAAGATTATTGGAACAGCAGCGACAACACGAACAACAGAGACAACAAGATCATCAAAGACTGCAAGAACAACAGAGGATACAAGAGCAACATAGATTACAGGAACAACAAAGGTTACAGGAGCAACAAAGACTCCAGGACCAGCAGAGGTTACAAGAAGATCGCAGGAGGAAACAAGAACAGGAACAAAAACTCTTGCAGGAACAGCAATATCGTTCGCAGTTGAAATACAATCAAGCCCCGCTGCAAAGTATACCACAAATACCTATTCAGTCTCAAGTTCAAAAACCTGAGGGAGAAATTTTTAAAGCTGTTCCAAAATTAGAGCAGCACTACGCGATTCGAGAAAATCCACTGCATCCTGGTCCTTTCCCGCCTAATCCCCTGATCCAACCAACAGGATTCCCTGAAACTTCACAGAATCAATACGTTTCCTCTCAGCCGTCGAGTCCGCTGCCAGAAAGTCAGCCACTTATAAGAAATCCATCGAGTCAATTTCTAAACGATCAGCCACAACACCAGAGCCCGAAACAGCAAGTTTTCCAAAGTCAACAGCAAGGATTTTTCTCGCAAAATCTGCAGATTTCCCAACAGCAACAGCAACAGCAGCAGCAACAACAGCAGCAGCAGCAGCAGCAGCAACAACAACAATCACGGTTCCCATCGTCGTCTCAGCGATCGTCGATTTGGGGACGTCCATCCTTCTTCGGGAGCAGCACGAGTTCCTCTCAAAAGATTTACGCCACTCCAGTCACCAACACGGAAGATTTCAATGCAATATCCACCAATAGACCGTTTATATCGAGCACAACGACGACCACCACAACGACGACGACAACCACCGAGGCTCCAACTACTTTGTCACCAAAGAGCGAGGAAAAAATCAAGGAGAACATCGCTAACTTGCCGGATGAGGTTCCGGACGACATAAGGGAGCAACTGTTGAGTTCCGGGATTTTGGGCAACGCCGACATACAAATACTGGATTACGACAAGGTCGGCGACATACCGATCGAGAAACTACCGCCCGAAGCCCTGGCGAATTTCTACGGCGCCGGAGGCGGTTCCGCGGTGGCTGCCAGCGAACCGGTACCGTCGATCGTCAAGAAACCCAAAACGGCAGATAGCGCGTCTTCCGCGACCTCCTCTTCTTCCACTTCTTTAACTGTTTTGGCGAAGAAGGCGGCTGCTGGCAGCTCGACTAAGTTCGAGCAAGCCACCTTGCGTCCGGGAGGCGTGGAGATGAAAGTAGTACGCTTCGATCCGAATACGGAGCAAGGCCAGGCGCTGGCTGATCAGCACATACGCGATGATGCTACCAGGCTGAATCCCGTAACCGTGGGAGCGAGAGACGAGGCTCAATACAATCGTTATTTGCCGCTCAAAGTCAGTGGTGCTTCCTTCCCTATTCCGGATGCGTCTCAACTCGTCGGTCGGAAGATCTCCAGCGTGGTAGTGCTGGCACCAGTCGACTATAACTTTCATGAGGAGAAGGAGATAGAGTCGAGGCAGGGCAGGCGGGTCAGCGATGTGCAGGCGGTCAAGTTTCTCGCCGGTGATACTCTGAAGCAGTTGGTGAAAAAGCCAACTGCGGAAAACTACAAGAAGTGGTTAGAACAAGAGAGCCGCACAGAGCCGCAGAAGCAGTCGGTGGTACTTCTGGTAACCATGTAAGTGGTAGCCGCGGCACTCGATGCCATAACTAATCACGCTTACCTACTCGTTTACCTTCGTTAACTCGTTCACTTGGTTTAAATGGTATGTGCAATTATTCTTTAACGAGCCATATTCTCTACCATCACGATATCCCCTGAATGCTTCGAATCGCTTCCGCATGCGCCTCTTTACAAGTAACGATTGAAACCGTCGAGCTTCACTTTCTTCGACGTTAAAACAATGTTCTCTTGGTGTTACAGGCCGAAAGACGCGGACCAAGGTGAAAAAGAGATCTTCATGTACGATGTAGTCTCACGATCCGTGAGTAAGTTGTCTGGAGATTTGTCTACGGCCTTCGTGGATGCTGCTGAAAGTAATTCCGATAGTAATTTCGACGACTCGAATTCCCCATCGCACTAAGTTGTACCGCACGAACGAACATTATGACATAAAATAGCAAGAAGTTACTTACTAAAAATAAAAAAAAAAACACATGTTTAGCGTGCCAAACCTGGATATAATGAATGAAACGTTGTCATCTCACATGTTATCTAACGATTACAACGAACGCGAAACAAAGTTTAAGAGAGGTAAAGGACATAAAATTATAAGTACCCCTTGTAGATATTTTAATTATGTATTATTATGTATATACTGATTTTCTACAATTTTTTTTATACAAAATAAACACAATCCTTTTGTACGTCTAAATTGTTCGCTTTGTTATCCTACAACAAATATTCTGAAAACTTACATTTACATACAAACGGAAGTTTCTACTCCAGTTACTTGTTTAAACGAACTTTGTTTTCATTTCAATTTAGTGCAACTACAGTTACGAAGTTGCTATAACTTAATTGAACGATCGCTTGAAACTTTAATCGAATCAAGGAAGTTCAATTTACATGCATCGTCGTTAATAAAATCGGATCTAGTTATTTCAGGCGTTTTTAAATATAATCCAGTTAATTGTAGGTAAATTAGAAAACCTTAACCATGAATTTACAAAAATTATTAAGATACATATTATGGTCGTCCACAGCTAATCATCCATTTGCATTCATACTTAATTATACAGTTGCACACATACCTCTTGTGATAGTGTGGTACAAATGGCGGCGACTGATATTTTGTACGATGCGTATAAGTGAAGTGGCTAGTATTTTAACGAAAAGTTTAGATATAACAAAACGTGATATCAACTAGAAAATGTAAGCATTGTATGCATAATTTGGTATGTTCGTTATTAACATACTTTCGTAACTTTGCACAAATGTGTTTGTAACAAGATATTTTATTACCAGTATAGGTTATCTTACGTTAACATCATTTTGCACAAGAATGTTAAAACCATGATTGTGCATACTTTGTGAGGAATTTGATCAATGCCAATATAAAAATGTCCAGTAGTAGTTCCGAAAGTAGCGACGACAACCGTCATGAAAAATCACGGAAAAGACATAAACACCGACGCGACGAGAGTCCTAACCAAGACAGACGATTGAACAGAAAGGAATCGAGCAGCAAGAGTAAAAATTATAGAGATGGCAGAGAAGGTAGGGACGTTCACAAATTTAGCAGAGAAGTAAGAAGAGAAAATAATGATATGCATCGTGATAGATCACAACGTGAACGGGATAGAGAATATAGGGATAGTCGACACGATCATCCAAGGAGAGATGATGACAAACAAAATGGTAAAAGACGGTATGAAAGGTCTCCTATGAGAAGAGAAGAACCTCGTTCGAGGCACAGAGAATATGAAGACAGGAATAGGAAGCATAGAGATACGGCTGAATATAAGAAGCACGATGAAACAAATAAAGAAAGAAAAAGTAATTTCGAGGAAATAAAAATGAAAAGGGAACTTTCGCCAGAATGGGGTAAACCCAATTTAAAAACAGAAGCTAAACCAAAGCCTCAAGAAAAGGATAAACCAAATTTTGAATTATCCGGTAAACTCACCGAAGACACTAACACAGTAAATGGTGTAGTTATTAAATATTCTGAACCAGCAGATTCAAGGAAACCTAAACGTAGGTGGCGATTATATCCTTTCAAGGGAGAAAAGGCATTACCTACGTTATATGTTCATAGACAATCAGCATATTTAATGGGCAGAGATCGCAAAATTGCTGATATACCTTTAGATCATCCGTCATGTTCCAAGCAACATGCTGTTTTACAATATCGTTTAGTATCTTTTCAAAGAGAAGGTGGTGGCGAAGGTAGAAGAATTCGCCCATATCTTATAGATTTAGAATCTGCAAATGGTACATTTGTAAATAATGTAAAGTTAGAACCAAGAAGATATCATGAATTACTAGAACGAGATGTATTACGTTTTGGATTCAGCTCTAGAGAATACGTTCTATTACATGAACATAGCAAAGACGATTCTTTGGACGATGATGTTCCCCTTAGTACCGCTACTACAACTGCTATTACTACTACTACCGCTACTACTATTACTACTACTGCAGTATAGGTATGAGAAATTATAATTTCAATTCTTAAAAATATTTTTTTTTTTTAAATATTTAAATAAATTCTTGTCTATTAAATTCCAGGATCTCTTGTAAAATAATTATAAAAAGAACCTATAAGTAATATTTTAAATACATCAACAATGTATTAATGTTACCTCTTAAAATAGATTCCATAACATTTTTATAGATTCTTTCAAATCGTATTATAGAGAAAATGATTGCAGTCTTTGAACAGAGTATTTATCATCATATAATATTAACATAATAAAATTTCTAAATCCTGCGAAAACAAATTGTCATCATATAAGTTTTACATTTTGTGTAAATTAGTGACATAAATTGATTGTAATAAATCACTTTTGAAATACATTGAAGTTTATTTATTTACATTTGAAATTTTATTTACCCCAAAAACTCAGACAATAAATTTCATATGTTGTGCACGATTTTATGTCAAATTATATCTGCATGGTTGCATTAACATGCACATAGTGAATATACAAAATTCATACAGTTATTTCTATCTCAACAATACATTTCTTGTTACAATGATAAAAGATATTTACATGGTTCGGTTTATTAAAAATTACAATGTTTGTAAGGAACTAATAATATACATATAGAGAATATATTGGAGCATCTTTAAATAGGAAGACTATAAAGTATTTATCAAATATTTATAAACTATCGTATTTTTGAATAGTCTAATATTGAACGTCTTTTATAAAAACATTTCTTACAAATTTATAAAAAATTTTACAATATATCCAAATATATATAATCTAGTTTTCGTCTAATCTCTCGTTGATAATATCTTTTTCAGTATATAATATTATCAAAATATTATTTTCTAAAAGTACGTATCCAGGTGTATAATTATTACTACTGTTATTACTATAATTTGACTATTAATTTTTTGGATTTGGATAACTATAATATTGTTCTAATACTTTCATGGAAAAGAGTAATGAATGAAGTTCAAAAAATATCAAATTTATATTAGTAAAATATTTACAGTAATTTACGACTTTTTTTCTTTGTGACGCATTAATAATGAAGTTTGAAAGTGTAAGTTTCAAACATTATCAGTCCATTCATACAATTCGTAATCAAAAACTTTTATTCTTAATTGTACCATTTCAATAAGAATCGCTAAATTTACGTATAAAACTTAACAAATTCTTATGTAACATGAATATTAATTTTAATATCATACCTCGTATTACCATCAAATATGAAATTTGTACAATGAACAGTGAGACTTTAATCATACTTTTAGTCATTAAATAAATACATTATCTTCGGATAACAAGTATAAAACTATCGCGAATTATTCTAATCCCGGTATAATACTCTACAACTATTCTCGTTCCTTAGGTGCTAGAGACAAGTCCATGGTTAATAACTAATACAACTACAAGGAAAAACTTCCTGCCACGATTTACGTAAAACAAATTTTCAAATATTAAAATTTAAATATGTACAGACGTTGATATGGCAGTTTAAAGCTATGGAACTTCACACGCGCTTTCAGTTTTAATATGCTTACAACTGAAATTAATCATGTTTTAAAAATATGACTTAAAATGACTTAATTCTTTTCACCTTTAACAAAAACTTCACGATCCGTTTACTCTAACAGCATCTGTATTGATATTCGTGTATGTAACTATATTGTTACTGTCTTCGACGACTGGAGTTTGCCTTAATAAATTCAATAGCGCACTATTTATTACCAAAGGAATATTGGCCTTACCGTTTTGTAAATTAGAATGAGTTCTTTGAATTTTTGGCAATGTGTTTTTCGTAACGCTGGTATCGCTCAGCGTTGATTCTCCGGTACCACCCATAACGCTATTCTTCAATGGAAGGACATTTTGTGAACTAATTAACGATGAACTAGGTCGAGTAGGTGGAGCTAAACTAATATTTGAGCTGAGAGAACTAGAACTTCTACCCTCTAAACTTATTTCGGATCCACGTCGTTCGGTCGTGTTCCTTTTGTTTTTCCGTTGATGATCAGTCAATGATGTAAAAGAATCTCTCTTTAAAATCGTTTTAATGGTGGGATTGGTTAATTTTGAACTATCTAAGGTGTTACATTTCTCAGTCATGCTCGTAATCGATGCCCTTTTACGTTCAGGTAAATTCAAACTGGATACCGAAGATCTCTTGTCGCATCTTTTTTCTGGTTCTTTGTCGCCGCTCAAAGAATCTTTTTGTTCTTGTAAATTGCCGGGGCTCATGTAGTCCTTTAAATCTGGATTTGTACTGGCTTTGTTTATATTACCTAAATTTTGATCAGAAATATGAATCGACCGAGGAACTTCGTATCCGCTCGTCGAATGTTCGCGTAAAATAATTTCTTCATTATCCGCTAATAATTCCAAATATTTTGGTACTTCGCTCGATTGCGTCGCGTTATGAGAATTCTGAAGGAATGGCTGCATGTCTCTACTACCCTCTGAACTGCTGGATTTCCATGAATTTCCTGTTGAAATTAACTAATTGTATTACACGCGTTCTTGCTTGCAAATTTTATTGCGAGGCACAGTGAAACAGATATCGAGAAAGCAGCAGTTTACAAAAAACCTACCTGAATTATTATGATTTTGATTCTCGTCAGCAAAGTAAGCCATGTTAGACACGCCTGCAAGCATGAGCCATGCAATGATATAACAGACATGTATTCAAGCAAATTGTTAAATTTGTACACTGAATACTTTTATGATGATGCGTCACGATGTATCGAAGAATCATGTATTCGTATTTGAGAGAAACATGCTTATCTTGTGTCACGTGGAAATTTAAAATTACATTTAAAAAACAAATTGAAATTTAAGTAGGGATATTTATGGCTGTGATTGTACTATTAGATGATGAAGCAGCTAATATTAGATTAAATTTTATTGAAGAACTATGAGAGTCATGTATAGACATATGATTGTACACATAAGCACTTGTCAAAGTATCTTTGGCTAACTGACTAAACACATTTGCTTGATTAATAGTTATACTTTAAAATGTATCAGATATGTATCTCATGCCAACAGATAGATATAATGCAAGTATCGAGATTCGATCTGAACTTACCTCTTCTAGCTAAGTAATGGCCAGCATATACTGGGCTTAATGGTGCATCCTCTATAGTACTTCGATGACTAACAATATTCTCGAGACAAACTTTAAAACTCGGTCTGGAATCAGCAGGACTCCAACAGCGTAACATCAACTGGTGCAAAGCAGGAGGACAGTTGAGAGGTTTAGGCAACCTGCCCCCTGCACGCACATGGTGTAATACTTCAAGATTTGTTCTAGCAGGATACGGTTGCTGTCCCAAGGATGTGATCTCCCACATTAATACACCAAATGCCCAAACATCGCTCTGTGAAGTGAACACACCATCTACTAAGGATTCAGGAGCCATCCAACGAACAGGTAACATTCCTTCCCCTATCTACAAAGAGAGAAACAAGTTCTAAACAAATTCAAACTTCATAATGAAAACGCAAACAAACTGCAGTCATGAGCATACATCTACCTTTCTATAATAATCATTCTTATATATATCTCTTGCAAGCCCAAAGTCACCGATCTTAACAACACGGTTCTCCCTATCTCTAGCAGACACTAAACAATTCCTGCACGCAAGATCTCTATGTACAAAATGGAGCTCCTCTAAATAACGACATCCTCTCGCTACATCCTCGCACATAGCGAGTAAATCTTGTAGACGCAAAGCGTGCGGATCTGTTGGTTGCAAGGATCGACTTGCTCTTAAATAACTCAATAAATCTCCAGCTTCCATCAGTTCCAATACTAATAACGGTGGGTCCGTATCTAAGCATACGCCAAGAAGTCTGAGCACGTGTTTATGCCGAAAATGACTCATGAGCCTAGCTTCCTGAAGGAATTCTGTTTTCTCTTGCGCCGATGCTCCCTTACGGAGTGTTTTTACCGCGACCGGTGTAATTCCAGGCCTTTCCAAGTTCTTTGCGTTTCCTTGAAACACCTGTAACATTTTCAAACAAACAACATTAATGCATCCTACAGCGTTTATTCATTTCATACTTCACTCACCTCCCCGAAGGCACCGCAGCCTAAAAACTTAGCTAACGTTATTTGTTCCCTTCTGATTTTAGGAAGCGTAGAATCGTCGGAATCGTTTTGCAAGGTGGACGCATAAAGTGCATTCGACTGAACGAAGTTTCCCCGTGGTATTTCCTGCAGCGTAGCCAATTCCACGTCGCTCACTAAGGGCGGTAAGACTGCCTTTTTATCTTCTTTACGTTGCCGGTACACTGCTGAATTGCAAAAATTTGTTTTAACCAACGACTTCCCAACACGCACGTATCGGTTGCTTGAACTCATTATACTTTACAATCGTGTACTTACGGCAAAGGAAGTAACAGAAGCAAATGAGCATAATGGTAATAACGGGAACGCTAAGTCCTAACACCAATCCGAGATGTTGTTGGGCCGCTAATATCCCTCCCGTCGTTTCCGTCAAATCGATGATCAAGCTGGATCTGCTCCACGCGCCAAATCCGTACGCGTTCCTAGCTTGAACGCGAAACCTATATTTCTCGTCTATGTCCCCCGTGATTATCCAATAATTATCTGTTCCGTTGTAAAACAACTTCCAGCTGGCGTTCTCGTTGGGGTCGATTTGTTCGTTAATCTCGTTTATTTTCATCCCTTCGACGCGATACAGGGTAATCTGAGAACCATGAGCTTGCGCGGGCTCCCAGTTCAATTGGTACACGGAATTGCGCAGTTTCGTCATCGTAGGCATTCCCGGAGCACTTGGTACATCGCCTGTTTCGTGAATAACGCAAAACAATAGTGTTTAAGCTGGGAAAAATTACAATGATTAATTTGTTAACATTTACCTAACGTTTGAAACGTAAATCTTCCATCGGTAGGCCACACAAAGTCCTTCTTGTAGCTTGGGTATCTTAAGAGTAGACGGAATTTGTACAAAGTACGGGGTTGCAATCTTCGAATGAAGTACGTCACTCGTCGTTTCTCTACTTTGGAAGCGTTTGCCACTTGCCAGTCTTCCAGGGCCACGTCTTTGTATTGTAAAGTATGTCTAACAGTCAGGTTGATGGTCGGTATCCAAGACACGTTCAAACTGTTCACGCTGACACCGGTTAGCGTCAGATTATTAGGCTCCGGGTACATTGTTACTACGTGGCCAGGACCCTCGCTATAAACATTTAGACTGGACCCTGAATCAGCAGGGTATGCACGGACGAACACTTTGTATTCTTCACCAGGTAGCCACGGTTCCAACAAGGTGAAATACCTGCCATCTTCCGCGGTGCGTTCAGAAACCTTTATCAAATGTTCTCCCTTCTGTCGTGCTCCGTTTATCAATCTATTCAATTTCCAGTGCACCTCGTATCGAACTGCCGCAGCGTTCAGTATTCTCGGTGGCATCCAGTAAACAATAGCCAATGTTGGCGTCAGAGCTTCGACAGTGACGTTTTCAGGTGCTGTAGGGACACCAGCTCCAGTTCTCAAGACAACGCCGGAACCGAACTCCAACGACATCGATTCCAAATCAGCGTAATAGTTGCTCAACGCCAACTTGAGCCTGTATTTCGTGAAGGGTATCAAATCTTTTATTCTGTACTCTTTCTCGTAAGTCTGCAACGTCGTTCTATTGCTATCCAGGCATTCGTGAGGCTCGTTTACCAAACACTGGGACATGTATATCGTGTAGAGAGTCGTAGGTAAATTGTACCTTTCGCAGCCGCTCTGTGGAACAGGCTGAGGAAGCCGCACGGTAATGCTTTGTCCCGTTTTCATGATTTCCGTTACGTTGTAGGGCATTTGTCGAGGTATCAAACAGTTTGCGGTTGGATAGGGTTGCAGAGGTTTCCCAAGGGCCTTGATGCTACGCACTTCTGGCAAGTAAAATCGTTGAATTTCCCCGTCATCGGGATATTCTTTGTTCACGAAATAAATCTGAGCCTCTTCGGAGTTCGACCAATATACGTTCATCTTGTCGACCGTCAACGACATAGGTGGCAATCCCTTATTGTAACTCGCGGTCACTATCAAGCTGCACGCGCAGCCATTGATGTCGGCGACGTTCAAGTGCCCTTCCAAGGAAATCCAATACATCGCAGGCTTTTGAATCGTGGTACTGTCGATCGTCATCACGGGAATCACGGCCGGTCTGTATGGACAAGAGCAATCGTCCATGTGATTGAAGAAGGGTTGAACCGCTTTCCCGCTCAAGTCTGACTGCATTATCACTCCTCTGTCGTTCTCCGTGAGCTCTATCCAGTACAACGATCTGCAATAGAAAACTCAAGTAGAATCAACGATACAAAGTAAGATAAAAAAATAAAAAATTACCCTGTAGACGGCAGAATGTCGAGATTTAAAATGCGCCTGTTGGCCGCGACGATGCTCTTGTACTTGAGAATTCCAGTTTGCCACATGGTCAAGTCCAGTTTGATGATATGGCCGCCATTTTCACGGTAGCTTGACTCGGACCAGTATAAGTTTCTCGCGACCCAATCGATGGTTACGCTGAGAGCACTGTTGTTCAGCGTCAGAATCTTCGTGGCGTTCGCCCCCGATAGATCCGACGTGACCAGCTCTTGCATCTCGTTTATCCAATAAAGTTTGCTCTCAGCGGCCAGATACGTGACCTCGACCGCGATATGACGAGTAATGGTGTCGTTTTTTTCTTCGTCCAAATCAGAGATTCTCACGGCGTCCATGGTCGCCACCAGCAATTGCGGAACTGGATTCTCGTACGTCGTCGACACGTTGATCACGTCGGTGTACGGACCGGCGCCAATTTTCGTGTGACCACGTACTTGAAAATAGTAAGTCGTATTCGGCAGCAGATCGTGTACAGTGTGCTCCAATTTATCGGAAATAAGCGATTGATCGCAGATTTGGACGTCCACGTGGTCCTCCACGAACCAACATTGAACGGTGTATCCTACGATCAAACCGTTCGTGAACTCTGGTTGATTCCATCTGTAAGGTCGAAACGACAGGAAAAACGATAAATGCTTGAATACTAAATCGCGTGAAAGGGTATATTGCAACGTTTCTTTCTAACGGGCGAGCAGAGAAGTGAAGGGAATCTTGCAACTCTTTGATATCCAATAATTATCTCATTTCACATCGCTTTCTTTCGCAATCTTAGACCATACATTACAGACGAAGAGATTGGAATAACTTGCTGTTAAATTGTGCACTGATTGTTAACATACCAGATGTTCTCATATTTTAAAAATAACATTGAAATTTTCGACCACTTTCTAGCCCTCGGATAAAAAAATTTTGAATGCATTCATCTTTTCCTGTTTCCAAACTTTTGGCCTGTAGTGCACGCAATAAATCTCTTTGCTTACCTGAATATTGCGAAAATATCGACGTTCTCGCTAAGAGGCTCTTTATGAAATTCTATGAACGCTCTGGAATTCGTCGGTTGGCTCGGTACGCTCTGCGGCGATCTGAGCGTTCTCCTCGTGTGATGAGCCGATTCCCAATACGTGAACGCTTTCACGGTTACTTCTAAAACCGAATAGGGTAAGATTTGTTCCGAATTGTTGTAGGGCATCGAGGTTTCCGTCGTGATTTCTGGATTCGAATTGGTGTTGATGTAATCCGCGAATTTCACTTCGTAAAACACGGTCCCGTAGTTGATGTTCTCCACGGGATCCCACGATATGTTGAAATTCCTCCACGTTCCTTCGACCCTAATACTGCTATAGTTGACCGCGTTCGGTAAGATTACCACGGTCTCCGACGTGAGATTCTCCGGATACTGATGAAGCGCTGGATCCATCACAGCGACCATGTGAAGGCCCGACAGAGTAATACCGTTTATTATGGCGGTGTTCTGACCAGACAGATCACCTATCACCGCATTCCGGTCGTCTTGAAGCCACAGAAGATGTTCAGAGAAGTAACACAATGGACCTTGCATGTTTGGATGCTGCAGAGCAGAAACCTGAGGATACAAATATTTAAGAAATCATTAAACTGTTCGTTGCTTATAGCGAAGCTTAAAGCTCCATTCTATTTGGAGAATATTGGGACTGACTTTTTCCTAAGAGTATTATGTGTATTTAATGAATGAATTGATAAATAAATTAGATAAATGAAGAGATTCTTATTATTAATAATTTCGTTCTACGAAAAGGGGTTACTAGTGAAAAATGTTTAAGGAATGCTAATGTAACTGACTACTCGAAAACAGCCATTTTTATTATTTGTCAGAGAAGAAAACGTTTTATCACCTGTACGTCTTAAGAAATCGGGAGAAAGTAGTTATTTAAGAGACATGTGACGGGAAAGTTGTAATAAACACACCTGAAGGATGGAATACGACGGTGCATACAACTCGCCTAATTGAGTTTCATCTTCAAGTTTTTTATACAATATTTTCCAAACTAATTAGTCAGAAATTCTGTGGAACGTCTAGCAAAGCGATAAATCATAAAATTGTTAGCACATCGTAGCAATAACTAGCACACCTTTCTCTAAAAATGTATAATTGCTTTAGGGCGTGGAAGCAATTATACCTCGACAACCAAGATTTAAATTTCAAAATATAAGAGGCTCTTTTTATTTACATTGGCATAACGTATCCATGTATACATACACATATACAGGGTGTTCGGCTAACCCTGGGAAAAATTTTAATGGGAGATTCTAGAAGCCAAAATAAGACGAAAATCAAGAATATCGATTTGTTGATCTTCGTTAAAAAGTTATTAAAAAATTAAATTAAAAAATTTCAAATCGTTCTGGAAAAATTATTTTCGGTTGCGGGGGTCAATTACAATCATTTTTTATCATTAGACATACCCTCGAAATCCTACCTACTTTCGAGAAAAAATTTCGAGTAGGTGGACAAAGTCGACAAAATTAAAAAATTTCAAATCGTTCTAGAAAAATTATTTTCAGTTGCAGGGGTCAATTACAATCAATTTTGGTCAATACACATATCCTCGAAATCGTACGCATTTTCAAGAAAAAAATTCTTTATCGAAAATATAATTTCTGGCCAGAAATGTTTGCCCGAAATTTCATACAAATCTTTAAAACATCATAACTCCTGAACGGATTGGACGATTTTAATGTTTCAAAATGCAAACGACGCGTATTTTAGTGAAAAATATGTAGAAATTTCAAAAATATTCGAAAAGTTGTTCCTTGATTTCGTAAAATGAGAAAAACCCCATAAAACTAGTCCAATTTTCAAACGACTATAACTCCTGCATTAGTGAATATATTTCAATGAAATTTTGGGAGAGAGTAGAGCTCATGGGTACTTACAAAAAAGTATTAAACAACTTTTCTGTAGGGCGTCAAACAAAATTACTAAAAATCAAAAACGAATTTCTAAGAAAAATCGACAGAGGTAGGTGCCTAAATTTTTCAGCGAAATTAAAAAATTTCAAATCGTTCTGGAAAAATTATTTTTAGTTGTGGGGATCAATTACAATCATTTTGGGTGAATAGACATATCACCGAAATCCTACGTACTTTCGAGAAAAAAATTCGCGTAAGTGCTGAAATTTTTTGGCGAAATTAAAAAATTTCAAATCGTTCTAAAAAAATTATTTTTAGGTGCAAGAGTCAATTACAATCATTTTCGGTTAATACATATACCCCCGAAATCCTATGCACCTCCACGAAAAAAATTCTTCACCAAAAATATACTGTGTGGCCGGAAATGTTTCTATAACTTTTTAACGACGCCTCAATCAACAAATTAGTATCCTTGATTTTCATCTTATTTTGGTCTCTGGAATCTCCCATTAAAATTTTTCCCAGGAGTGGCCGAACACCCTGTATAGGCAACTGCATTATATTGTCCAGTATAAAAGAAAAACAAATTAATCAATTTTTTACTAACAGAAACAATTTCACAAAACTACATGAAAAGGTAGTATTATGTCGAGGATTAGTTATACGAGTCCATGTTTTACAGTGATTTGTGAAGACAAAGCTGACGGATATTAGTTATGTAATTTCTAATTGTTATTTCGATCTTTATATTTAGTACAACTTTCCCATCGCGTAGCGATTAAATAACTATTGTCTTTCAATTTCCTATTATATACATATATTATATAAAAACTTTTCTTTTCCCAAGAGTACCAATGATCACCATTTTCGGGCACTGACCTTTCGGCTGATTTTGCTATCTAGTGAATAATTAAATAAATGAAGTGTGAAAGGTGACAGAAACCTTTTCGGGTACGATTTTGTGGTTCATCGGAATCCTTTCAGACGTTGGCGCGCGGTAAACGATCGATCCACTCTCGTAGCTGCGAACGATCCAATAAACGTATCTGTTCTCCGTGTCCAACGTTAAACCCATCACTTGTTTGCCGTTGAATATTTCATCCGAGTGATAGTACCTTCTGTCCTGTCCGTTCAAACGTGCAACTTCCACCGCGTGCCCCGTAGACCAATACAAATATGCCTCTAAAGAGTCGATCATTAGTTCTTTAACGATGGCTAGAATCGACATAGGCTCTTGATGAGATCCATTTAAATTTGCTCTTGTTATCTGAAAACAAGGATAACGGTAAAGACTTGGGTATTTCAGAACCGTTTATTAGAAAAGCTATTGTTGTATGTACAATTTGTTGTTTCGGATTGGCCCAATATAGCTTCTTCGATATCCAATCGACGGCGACGCTTCCAACGGAGTGAATATTCATCTTCGTTTTCTGATGGGTGGTGATACTGTACCGATACAAAACAGAGTTATTTCCCACAATGTAAAGGATGTCCTTGTACCAGCTCACGTCGACGATGTGATAGTCGGTCTCTGCTTCCTTTAGACTCGTTTTGTATATCAGTGTATCGATATTTTCTCCAGTCACGTCGCTGCTCAAGAGACCTTCGTTTGCGGACCAGAGAATGGACGTGTGCGATCCGTCTCTGAAAGATTAATAACAATAAGCAATAGTACAATTCAAACAAAAAGAGTCGCGTCTAGGTATTTTGGTGCCCAAGGCAACAATGAAATACGACATATTTTCTGAAGTATAATATCATTATTAAGAGCAATAAACTTGATGACTTTTCTATACAAATTTCATTCTTGAATAAACAGGGTCTGTTGCGGCATTAATTTGATTCGTATTATAAACAAATATCGTGTCCTAATATTTTTTAACATCACTATGAACTTAATAAGGAGCAAAGCAAAAATTTACCGTAGTGTCCGACCCCTAAATTCAGTGGACCACGGTCCTCTGCCAGCGCTGGTGTAAGCAGCTGCTTTAATCGAGTATTCCGATTTCTCTCGAAGATTGTGCACAGTGTGAGACGAGCCCGCGATATCCTTCTGATGAATGGTTTCCCCAGTAGACTCGTCTTTGATCTCAAGTTCGTAGGACCAATTCTGCCAGGCGCCTTTACCCTGCCCACCCAACAGATGAGGCGCCTGCCAAGAAACCTTTGCCCTCTTGACTCCCAAAACCGCTTGGACGCCTGTGGGAGGATTCACCGGGACAGGAACAGGCTGGCTAGCGTCCATAAGTACATTGACACTGACGAACGAACCGTTCGATCTGAAACGGACACGTTTATTTTGTAGGAATCATTTTTTAGACGAAAACAGACGTGTATCGTGTCCCAACGACGGCTCACCTGTCGGGGTAAGCATTGTGAAAGTATCTGTTCTGTCCTGAGTGGTATCCTTCTATCAGAACCTCCTCTCCGTTCGTCCAATAAAACAAACCGTTCGCCATTGCCAGGGAGACCACGTTTTTGAACTTTGGCTGCTGAGTGTTTGCGCGGAAGTTCAAGAGTTCCCGACCGTCCAAGGAAACTGACATGACCGTGTTCCGAGAGTGATGGGGAACCAATAAACGGAAGTTCGTGTGATCGACGGTGAACGTGCCCAAGTTTGCATCCTCCAGGATTAAATACGGCTGAACCTGGAGCATCGAGACACAATTTGAGCAAACCTAATCAAACATACTCGAGTTTGATCCTCCGTTCAACCCTCTATGAGCTAGTGTGACTGATTCGGAAAGAATATAGCTTGAATCAGTCACATTAGCTGATAAAGGGTTACCAGTCGTGTATGTTTACGTCGTCCACGGTTTGTTAGATCAGTATAAAGGTACCTCCGTGTAACGTACCTCGTGCTTCACTCCGTTGCTTATATCAGCCAGATCCAACCTGTACAAACCGCCTCTGGTGACCCAGAATAGGTATCCATTGTAGGGGTCCACCTCGATGTGAGAAGGTCGCGTTAAGAAACCAGCCACGGCTACCGTCAAACCCCTTCCGTCTAGATTGCACCTAGCTATCTGCCAAACAGTTGTCGCGTGTTTCACTTCGCCAAGAATGTACAAATGAAGATTAAGCCAGTCGACCGACAGGCTCAGAGGCTTAAAGTTTGCTTGGCTGGGGCTGAGCAGCACCGTCGGTGTCGTTCGTTTCGTGATGGACGTTTTGTACACGTATCCCAAGGAATCAGAAATGAACAGCTGAGCGGAAGCTACGTGAATGGCGACCCCGCGAATCGTGCTCGTATTTTCGTAAATTACGCTAGGATCGTCCAACATGTCGGCGTCCTGCTTCGTCACTACGTGTCTACCTCCAAGAATTACTATAGGTTGTTGGGTGTCTTTCGCTGAAACGTTTAGGAATTTTATTGAATATTTGTGGATCGTTTGCCGTGAAAATTTATTTCTGTAGAAAAATTTGAAAAGGTACCAGCAGGTTCCGGAGTCGTCGTGATGTAGATGACCGCCGGAGGACCCTCGCCGACTCCGTTTCTCATGGTCACGCTTATAGAATAATTTTTGTTCGGTTCGAGATTTTGAAACATGTAATGATCCGTGTTCTCCGATGCTGGTATATCCTGTCGATCGATTGTAAAACGTGTTAAGCAAAACGTTGACGTGTCCGTCCCTTTCGATCCCTTGTTAGAAAATCAGTATGCGAATAGGGGAAAAACGCCATGCCAGAAACGTATTTCGTGGAAGATCTGGTTCTTGCAAGTCGATAAGACAATGTTAATAGTGGTAGAAGAATAGCAAAATTAATAGAGACTTGCAATAGAATAATATAAAGAATTCAAAGCAGCGAGCATTTATTAAAACATACAGAATTGGAAAATTGATGTTAGTATTTGTTGGCAAGCGGGATCACTATTATCAAGAATTTAGAAAATTAAGTAATTATGCAAAATGTTAGTGAAGCTTTTTACTGTACAACAAATGCACACTTCGAAGGACAGCATTTTAATTCAACGAACACAGAAAACCGTTGAGACTGTTTTCTTTATAATTGTTTCATGACTTCAATCTTCATACTCAAGAAATTAAACATGGTTAATGAAAAGAATGCTGTGATCAAGGCCAGTAGACATTAAAAAATTATTCCAATGAAAGAAAGTGTGCGTTTGTTTGGAGACCATGCATATATCCGTCGTATTTAATCTATGGAAGATCATCCCTTCTGAGGAGGGTGGGCAATCTTGCAGAACCAGTTGGTGTTTCGCAGTGCAGTTTGCTACAAAAGTTAGATAGAACAGAGAAGCGCGATCGTCTTTGCAAACATCGAGAAACGTGTTAAGCAGACGTCGCGTGCAGCAATTAACTTAGAGACAATAGAAATCGAGACATCGAGCGTGAGACGCGTAGCTGAGAACTATGCGTCTCGTTAATCAGAGTCAGAGAGAGAGAATTATCATCTTATACATATTATTGAAGTTCTGGCGTGGCGTGTACCTTAAGCTGGGAGTGGTCAGCCCCTTGCAGACGCAGGACATAAGACAAAAGTGGCCCATTCGGAAAAGGGCCCGGTTCCCAAGATACAGAGACACGGCAGCTGTCTACCACCGCCGCTCTTACAATTACCGGTGCTGAGGTTGGTAAACCTGCTGCCAGCGTTCTTATCACGACGCTTGGGGCGGAGACGATCGGCTCGGGGTTGTGTTGCGACGACTTCAACAGCAATGCTACGCGAAACTGCAACGAAATCCCCGAAATGCATATTGTAAAGGTCTCTATTCCTTCTATAAGTTCTACTCGCTTGGTATAAACGATCATCGAGCAAAACGAACGAACAAGAACATAGGGCTAGAGAAAATTGATTATTTTATGAATAGAACACTATCTGTTCGATGGGACCAATTTGCAAACGTGAAAGCAAGAAACAATTAATTGATTAAAAATATTGCCACATGGTTTCTTTTCAGAATTACAGAACACTTCCGTCATCTTGGTTTTTGCATATCCAGAATCTAATTTTGTAGAAAATAGCACCAATTTGGCGCGTTTGAGGATGTTGTCTTCCAAGTACTTACTCTGTATTTCGTGTATGGTTGTAAATTCTCCACCAGAATCTGATCGTCTTCGCCCCACGATTGGTTCCTGCAATACTGCCACGTTTCAGCCAGTTCCTCGTACCTCCATTGCACCAAATACGAAATACCGCCGCCTCGTCTTTCTATGTCGATTCCCTTCCATTCTAGCTGCAGAGAAGTCGCGGTCAGGGAATCCGCCACCAGAGCTGGTGCCGGTGGATCACCTATTTCCGCTGATAATTCACATCGTGTCTTGTTAATTTCACAAACATTACCACGAAGTTGCACAATTGCATATTTGGTCGTGTCCTATACGGTGGATGATCGAATCATGACCACTCGTTTGCAATTTGAGTAAGAGTAGAAAATACAGGTAAAATGAAACGTCAAACAATAATAATGCATAACGTTTAATTTCAATTTTTTCTCGTATCGTTGCTTACACTAACATTTTTATACTTATTTCCTTATATCATACAATCTTTCGTGTTACATATAATTTTTTTGCATCCGATAATAATTTTATCACCCTCTGCAATTACGTAAAACGACACGAGACGAACAAGCGAAGATCGCGTTGTCAGTTTCGTCCATAACCGCGTTATCCGTCAGAAAGTCTGTCAAAAACTTCAAGTGGAACGAAGATCAATAATTTTCGCGATGAACGCAGAACGAATCCGAGCTTTGAAGGAGTATCAGAAGATACTGGACGAGCTGAGGACCACGTTCATGGAAAGATGGAAGGTGCACAAGGTGGACAAAGTCACCCTCGACGATTTCGAACGGTTTCGTACGATCGGGACCGGCGCGTTTGGACGAGTGATACTCGTGAAATACAAACCGACCTCCCTCTACTTCGCCATGAAGATACTGGACAAGGCGAAAATCGTGAAGATGAAGCAGGTGGATCACACCTTCAACGAGAAACGGATACTCCAATGCGTGAGGTTCCCGTTCGTCGTCTACATGGAGTACTGTTTCAAGGACAACTCGTACGTCTACATGGTGCTGCCGTTCATAAACGGAGGCGAGATGTTCACGCACCTTAGGCGAATGGGGAAGTTCGACGAGTCACTGGCGCGATTCTACGCCGCCCAGGTAGCGTTGGCCCTGGAGTATCTGCATCATTGCAGCCTGGTCTACCGGGACCTGAAGCCCGAGAACATCCTGATCCAATACACCGGTTACATTCGAATGACGGACTTTGGGTTCTGCAAGATGATCGACGGGAGAACCTGGACGCTGTGCGGCACGCCAGAGTACCTAGCGCCGGAAGTGATTCTGTCGAAGGGCTACGGGAAGTCCGTCGACTGGTGGAGCTTCGGAGTACTGATCTACGAGATGAACGCCGGCTATCCGCCGTTTTACTCGCGGGACCCGATGAAGATATACGAGAAAATCGTCGCTGGCAAGTACAAGTTCGCCCACCATTTTGGCGAGGAGCTCAGAGACATACTGAAGAACATTCTGCAGGTGGACCTAACCAGACGGTACGGTAACCTCAAGAACGGCACTCTGGACATCAAAGGGCACAGATGGTTCGAATCTATCGACTGGAACAAGATTTACCACCAAAAGATCCAGCCCAGCTTTATACCGCATTGCTCGGCGCCCGAGGACACGAGCAACTTCGATCACTACGAAGAAATCCCGCTGAAGATCGCCAACATCGATCGCTATCACAAAGAGTTCGCGAACTTTTAGTCGAGGTATCTGTAAGGAATGCAACGAGGACGCATATTTTAACGAACGTCAGGGGGAAATTGCTAGGACGCTTACGGTATAGTGAAATATAATTTGAAACAGAATTTTTGTAAGCATTACCTTTCAATTGTTGGAAGTAACGATTCAACGCGTCGTGACAGCCCAGAACACAGTACAATTCTTTGGGCGGCAGTAGTTCTTGCGTTCCATTCTGTAAACAACGTTTATGTTGAGTTGCTCGAACGTTATGTATAATTAAATTATAGAGAAAATCAAGGAGAAGTATGTATGTTGAATATTAGGATAAGGGACGATAACAGTGAATTATACTTACGCAGACGGCTTGACAGCTCGTGTCGAGTGCTCGCTGCCACGCTTCGCAGCCTTTTGTGCACTGAAACAGATGCAAAACGTACGTGTGAGATTGCGTTACACAATGTTCGTCACACCGGAAGTATCTCTGGTTGTACATAAAGTGTATCAAAGTTAAACAACTTCGTAAATTTATCGATTAACGCCGATTAAAAGATGTTTAAAATTGAAGATAGTGTCAAGTTTGTTCTTATCATACAAATCACAACTTTATTGCATACAATTTTCTCCCGATTACAAACTTTTACATTCCACTTTTACAAAAGTCTTGAGCTTTTTCTTAGGAAAGATAAAATCTATTTTAACGTTATCATCGTTTCTGAAATGTTTATTGGATTAAAAGACTCCACATGAGGATTAATGAAATAAAATTGGTAAAAGCACGCTTGAAAATGGAGATCTCCCCAATTGGCAACGCGTCGAGAGAATCAACGTGGATGGCTGGCGCGCGTCGCCATTATTTTGGCATTGAAGAGTAACTGGAACGTCTGCAAGGCGAAACTGTATTGGAAAGATGGACGAGAAACATGTGGCACGTGCCTTCAAGTAACGCCTACGTTCATAAGACGGCTGGTCGGTTCGTGCCGAGCATGGATTTGCGAACCGAAGTTTAACGCATTAACTTTCTGCACAAGAGGATGTGGGCATTTGTCGGCGACAACAAGCCAGTCGAAGAGAGGACGAAGAGAAGACGATCGGACGCGTGTGTTCGTTTCCAATAAATCGCAGTCTGTTCGCGGTTTACCAACTCTTTTCCGCGTCAACGTGCATCGCAGATACTGCTTCTCGAGTCTAAATTCTTTTTCCGTTTGCAGATAAACGGCGCCACGAGATCAACGGATGTTATCTTCAAGAAAATTACGTTATTACATAGTTTGATTTGGTTATTAACCCGTTTGGTAGCCATTTTACTTGCTAATAAATCGAGTCGCTGATATCGAGCGCTCTGCAAGCCATTTGTTTACAGTGATATACGATGATGCTCTATTAAAATCAATTTTTCTTGACTAAAACTGCTTCTACTCCAAATAAAGGTTGAAACAGTTACGAAAGACCTTTGTTTTGAACCCATAAACTTTACGACTTTCTTCTTTGATTCGAGATGCAGAGAGTTTGTAGAAGTTGCGATGCCATTTAAAAAGTAGCGCGTTCGGAGACTTCATGAACGGTCCTTGATGGGAAAGGTCGTTCAAAAAAGCGCTGGGATCGTCTATCGTCTCTGAATAAACAAGAAATCCGGTAGCCAAACGCGAAAGGGAGAAAACAGTAATAGTCTTGTCGTTGCTTAAGAGCGCCTTGGAAGAAAAACATGCTCGCTCGCAACGCGAAACGTAAATACACAAAAGTGATTTGGCGTGCTCGGCTGGCTCAAGGACTTCAGGAAGAGCATAGTTTGTAATAGTCCACGACTGGGACGTTTCGTCGTCAGCTGCAACTCTCTCTTTTCGAGTACATTTCCTGGCATTCCGATTCAGCCATATGTTTCATTCTAATTTCCTTTCCAATGGCCGATAATTGTCGTTTAATCGTCTTCAAATGGTGAACGCGAGGCCTTCGTTATTATTTTGCGCGTAGCTGAATCTCTATTTCAGCGTCGAATCTCGAGATACGAGAGAGCCATTTATCAATTGTGGAGATGATCGACACTGTGGTGCGTTCGAGAGGCGCCGCACATGAATGACACTCTTCCCGACATTTTATAATAATAATCGCGCCACGGAAAACTTAATTCAACCGGGATTAATGGCGCACCTGCGTCAACTGCTTCAATTTACGCTTCCAACCCGTGCTTATAGAGACGCAATGCTTCTAAATTATTTTCCATCGCTTTAAAGCAATAAAGGGACTGAAATACTCGGAACAAATACAGTAGAACCTTCGTCAATCGTTATGTAAGTAAATAGAAACCGGTTGTGGAATAATTAGATGCTTTTTCTAAATTTTTTGCTGGCCTCCTACAATGCACCACTGTTTATAAAAATTTTAACAAAAGAATACTTGGAATAAACAACAATTTTAACTCAAAATTTTACAAATTAAATTCGTTATAAGAATGTAACGAAATTAAAAGAATGACAAACACGATTTCTCATGAAATTGCTTGTATTTCTTACGATGCGTATTAATGCTTGTACCGATTAGTTAAAACATCGGAAGTAATTCGTGGGCATATTTCTTACGAAACAAATTTAAATTAAAAAGAATATAGTCGAGAACGTTTAGCAAGAAACTGTTTGGATCTAGTAACGACCCAAATATTATTAAATTTATCCGCCTAGGCGTCCGATAACCTAAACGTAAAATATGGAAAACATCTAGCGAAACATCGTAAGCCTTGCGTTACATTTGTTTCGCGCCATTCTACGATATTCGTAACGTGTGTACGTATTACGCGTACGGTGGTATTCGAGGGTATCACATAGGTCAGCTCGAATGAAAAGTCTCGAAGGAAAGGGACCTCCGACGCTAGATAAACGTTATTAATAAACATTTGGTGGCAGTTCGGTTTTATGACGGCACTTCAAAAGCGTTCTAAACGCGCACGACGCGACAATTATTAACGTTTACGGCGCAGTATCGAAAAACAGAGAAACGACGTATCGAACGCGGAACGAGAAACCGCGAACGATCGGGTTCGTAAAAAGCAGGCGTTTGTTTGGACGCGGCAGCGTTAAAAATACGACGCTCGTTTCTCTTGCCTTATCAATCTTAAAGAAGAGAAATAAAAAATGAAAGGAATTTAACGCGCGCGAGAAGCGTCGAAGGAGCACTTATCAACCGTTAAAACGACTTCTCTAACGACCGAGTCGACGATAATTTTTAACGTCTCAATTAATTATTTTCCACGTGATTATTAATTCACCCGTATCAGGCTGAATCTTCTCTTTCAATTAACTCGTACGAAACGCAGCGTTCGTGAAACGATTCGCCCGACAATTGACAGAATTCGTGGCGGCTCATTAAATGGCGGATCTGTTGTTCTTTTTTACGATCGGGCCTCGTAATAGGGGTTGACAAAACTATCAGACGGTGGAAAATGGCCGACGTATGGCTCGACGCTGCGCCCGCTAATTTCTCACTTCCTCATTAAAACCTCAACACACATTACGCCCCAGTCAGGCCCTCGCTCTACTCGGCTCCCCGTAGATCGTAGATCTTCATCCTACCACGGATGAGGATCTATCCGTTCTCTCCTCGTTTCGCTTTAACCCCGTTCACTGATTGCAGTTGCTCCGCCCGAAGAGCACGAGACATGAATGATGAGACGTCTCGAAAGGACAACGTCGGCTGCACACGCTCATATATTCATTAATTTTCCGGGTTTTGGGCCTCGTATCATAAATTCTGCCCGTTTATCGGTCAGCCCAACGACGGATCTTAAAAAGTTTAGAGGAAGATCTAACAATTAAATAATCGAGACGAGCACCGTCATTGAAAGTGGTCGAAAATATTTTGGTGATCGTTCAACGTTTGTCAAATCGGCTGATAAATTTTTGATTGATCGATGGGGAGGGGGAATACATTCTTCTATTTTTTTTACAAATTTTTAACGACGTCCATCTTCATTAACTCTTTCGAACCTGGAATTTAGAGACTACATCCGGTTGGGGTTCGCTAATTGATCTTTTTTTAAGCAGCTCCAGACAAGTTCTGAATGTAAAATATCATCATAATAGTATACCCATAAGACACATATGCAAATATACTATGTCGTTCAAATAATATGTTACGAACCGACTTCGTGTTTTTTTAATTACATTGCCCAAGGGGTCTAATCAATTCATGTACAAGAAATTATTTTTATACTCTCTTAGGAAGAAAGAGGGTGCCCCTAGAATTTTCTTTAATGGAAGGCAGTATTATTCTTTTGTTATTTGAATAATTTTATCAAACACAATAACATTTACTCGAATCACTTTTTTTTTAATTGTGCATAGTTACGAAGTTAAGACGAAGAATTGATATCTTGTAAAGCACAATATTATTTACTTAAGAATGTTAGATTCGAAAGAATCAGCGTAGCTCATTTTGACCAACTTTTTAGTTGTCATCCCCTCTTTGGAACCCTTTTAAATTCGCCTCTGGGTGAACGCACAGGAATAGGGTGGTCTTTGAATTTTCGTTTGCAAGAACGATTCTGGTAGCTAATGTCGAGTAGCAGCATTTGTCATGGATATCTTCGCTGTCGGTGGTCCGCCACTTTACAAGCATACTCGAACGTCTGGAGTCAGTCTGCAAACGACTTGCTTTCGTCAGAATCTCGTCCATAGTTTACACGTGCACTTAAGATTCTGAAGTTCCACGTTCCTGTCGAGAGACGGTAATTGGTCTCCCGGATACGAAGTAGCGTCGCCATGTTATACTATTTATTCGATGCCTGTGCAGGCACGTAATATTTCGTGCAAAGGAAATTCCAGAAATATCGGTTCGCCGCTATCGAGCCGTGAAATTACCGGAAGAGGCATCAAAGCCGAACTGCCTTTGCAACGAATGTACACAAAAATACTACCGGCTATAATAAAAATTAATACACGGATGTACCCGATACGAAGAATGAATATTTTCGTACGTTATACGTGACGTGTCGTTTCCAGATACAGATACAATTTTATCCGAATAATAAATGACGAATAGTTTCTTTTATCGAACGGTTAAATTTGTATTTGGTCGTTGTGGTATATGTGACTTTTATTTTTACAGTTATATATCAAGATAAAAGTTTGACCCATATCTATTTTCATTAAATTGACTCAAATAATAATTTGATCATGATATACCTTTATTTCCTCTGGATTTATAAATGTGCATTCTTCAGCACGCGATTTTCATTATATGATAACCGTGTAAAGTGCAAAATGAGCCCATTATCGCGTTAATATTTGCCTCTGTGTGGCTGTTATAGACGCGTTGAACGAGTGGATAAGCTCCGGAATTTAACAACAAACCCCCCTACCAAAACCGTTGAATTTGCAGAGGAAGGCAATTAGGGTTGCGTTTAGCAAAAAGTAGAGCATCTTCCTCTTAAATTGTGCCGTTCGTCGACTAACCGTTACTCGCGCGCGTTGCTGGAACGTACGAACCGTGAAACGAGGCGAGGGAGGAAATCGTTTTAAGCGCAATTCACGCACCGAGCCGTGGTATTCGAGGCTTTTCAACCAGCACGCAACAACCTCGTGTCACGGGAACTGTATAAAACACACAACGCCTGCCTCTGGCGAACGCAAAACTGATATCCGCGGCACGAGAATGGGCGGCGGTTCGATGATCGCGTTCCTTTCTGTTTCAAAGACAAACGATAATTAAGTGTATCGTAGGGCCCTTTGTCCTTTTCGTGGCACTAATTAGGGAGGCTCGTTTCCTACCCTGGAGACACGCGTTGCTGGATATCCTTCCGGTCGCGGTGGGGGTCCTTTCTCCGTTTCGTCAACACTTTCCTTTCTGTGTTTCGAAAGAATCTGTTTAGAATTACAGTCAAAGACTAAAAATTAACAATTATCCTATAAGCGTAAAAAAAATCATTGATAAAATGTTTTTTGTTACTTGAGTCGAGGATAATGATCGTTAAATCTGAAGCAAAGTACAATGGTAGAAAATGGTTAATTTTGGTAAATGCAATTGTTAGACAATTATTTTTTTACTGTTCTTGTTTATAGGTAGAGGAGTATTACTTGGTGTGATAAACGAAATATTTCTGTAACATGCTTCTGTCTTCTAATTCATGATACTTTGCTCTGCCTCGTTATACTGTAATTTATTATTGAAATAGCTTAACAACTTTCAACTAAAGCGAGAACTTTCTACAGTACCTATATAAAATAACGAGAATACGCTTGTTTATGGTAAAGTTATAACATTTATGTTAATCAAAAGGGTAATTATGAATTAGAAACTTATTTCCATGCTTATTGAAATACATTTAAAAAATGTTTATGCTTAAAGTATTCTGAATAAATGGTGAACCCGTATAATGACATTACAGTTAACATAATTGGAATCGCTATGCTCGATCCATTTATACGTCATTTATCTTCGATGTTGTAGCTCAAAGCCGGTTCATCGAACGATTTTAAGTCACAACATAGATGTTATAACTTTGACATAAAACACCGTTTACATGATGTCTAAAGTCAGTAGTTATAACATCAATGTTATATCATCGGTGTAATTCATAGCGTGAAAACGTAATCATTGTGCCCACGATTCAAGTGTCCCAGTTTAGTTTCGCAAGTATTAGACGGAAACACATCGTTGAAAGTACAAGTTACCCTACAAATACTGAAAGAAAAGGAACGATGCAGCTATTCAAAAAGGTATTTACATTATTGAATACTTAAAAACAGGCAAAAGACTCTGATTTACGAAATATGTATATAATTTTTACAGAGAAATTATAACGGTAATTTTGTGGTTTCAAAGATTCAATTTTGTTACAACGTAAATCTATGCTTTCTCATACATACCAATACAAACTAAACGCTTCAATTTAATATAAAAGATTGACAAATGTCTAAGTTATTCTGCAGCATTTCTTTGAATCACAATAAAATATACTTATAGCGTAAACAAAATATTTTTCAATGTTTACTATCTTATACGTTTAATATTGACAGTTTCGAAGACAATAACAAATAATGGTAAATAAACCAGTGTTGATTTTACCAAATTACCGGTAATTTGAAACGTCGGTTAATCCGTAATCTCTGGTTCGAAACTGTGCCAATCCACTAAAATGTGCCAATGATCGTTCGCGATTCCTGCAAGGTCTGATCAATTTGTTCCTTCGCGCAGATGCGTGGCGTGTTCCATCGTTCTGAAGTGTCAATTTCTAACGATTAGTACTGAGCACTTGGGTCAGCGTTGAAAGTGCTGTTCAAGCTTCGCCTATCGTTCTCAGTTTCGCGGCAATAAACTGACCTTCACACAGGTAATAAACCAACAGGTCAAGTATTAAATACGAGCCGAAGATACCACAAAGCAAATAATGGTAGAAGCTAATAAAGACCCGAAAATGTGTAATTTCTGGTATTTATTCCAGTAGACACCGGGTCCATTTGGATCCATGCAAACTATTTCATTCAAAGACCGTAAAGTTTTTGTTCTAAATAAATATTAATACAGTCTCAAGGTACCAGAGACCAAGAGTGGAGGAAACGCTGAAAGTTGATGGAGAAAACGCGCGAGGATGGTGACAGCGATCGTCGCGAAAATGACGGCGGGCTCGCGAGGACGATTTCCCCGGTTTTTCGTCCGGACTTCCGGAACGGGGCTGGCTGAGAGACGAAGAGGGCCATAGAAGCGGAAAGAGACGCGCAAACGGAGAGAGCGAATCCGGAGTCGCACGGCAATTTGGCGACATCCGCCATAGGCCGCACTTGTACGCGATCCAATTTAAAGTCACGAAGCCGTACGAGCCCGGCCATTCTTTCATTCGTACGCGTAATACGTATACACGTTCATTCATTCATTGGGTACCTACGCTTTGGCAAAGAGAGAGAGAAAGAGAGAGAGTGAATGGGAAAGGGAGACGGAGGATGACCTGACTTTGTTTTTATTTGCCGTTTACCGTCTCTCTGGCTGACGAGCCAGCGAACAGGGCCCCCGGGGACACCAGCGGAAGTACTTTCATTGTGCCAGGGGACCGGCATCCCTTTATTTTCGTCTCCGACGTTCGCGTACGTTAATAAACGATCGACGATGCTCCCCGTCGAACTTGCTTTAAATTCGCGTTGCAACGAGAGAATTATCCTCGTCCTGAGCCGCATCGGTCTCCATAAGTCGATTCGTTGATGAAGGTTCCACGACGTATCCGGACGAACTTGCTCTACAGGGGAGGGGGTCTTCTACTCTGAACCACCCACGGTACTCCTTTATGAATTGTTTACTTTAACTCATTCAGTGCGAAATCGAAAGTGTAAATATTCTGTTAGACTAAAATTTTGATTTCTTACCATTGTAAACTACATAACTTAACGTTTGCTTGAGTAGTTTTGTAACCTTGCCGAGATTCATAAATCTTATCCTTTATTTTCCTCGACATCTCAACTTGAGAATCAATTTTTCTAGTTATATTCAAAAACACAGTAGGTAAAAACAGTGTTCGTGCACTTGGTTTGTTTGCAATAACTTTGCAGAAACAAAGTGAAATTAAACAGGTATATAATGATCATTTATTTTTTGTTGTAGCTTAAGAAATAAATAACATAATTGAAGAGCAAGCGGTATCGAAACTCGTATCACTTTATTGAGGCATTTGTGTTATCGGTGCTAAAAATATTTGGGAACAGAGATTAAGTATGAAATAAATAATATTATATTATCTTGTGAAAGTCACAAATATCGTGAAATACAACCTGTTTTCTTGATATTGAAAAAAAACCTACATGAAAGGACATTTTGCAAAAGAAGATGTTTAATATATAGAAACACCTTTTGTTAATATATTGACAGTAAAATTGAATTTCTCTCTTTTTCTCATTAGGGGCGCCTTCCAAATATTATAGAAACCACAGATCTAACAATAAGCTTTTGTTCTAATCCCACGGAAGACAATTTAATGCTGGCGATCATAACTTTCACGATATTGTACGTTTTTGTTCATTTTACGTCACACTTATCACATTGCAATTTATCATCATCGTGTCTTGTGTTTTGTTTCTATAATTAACCCTACACATTCCTGATTAGATGCCATAATGTATGACCCTTGCCAGATTCGCTTTAAATTGCTGGGTTCCAATTAATTTTGATTATAATAAAACAATGATTTAATAAGGAATTATTTATTCTGAGTCACCAGTTTTATCCAACTTCAAATTTATTTTACATATCATTTCACGCAGCCAATTTTAATAATTTGAATCTCGTTGGTCTTTGAAACAAATCCCCAACCTCTTTAGAAATACTAGCAAATATATACAATATAATATTTACTCATCTATTAATACTCACATTAATGAGTAAATATTAAAATATTTTGTTTCCAAAAAATTATTCTAATAGTATTTATTAGACTAAAACAATTTGTTTGGAGAACTTGCTTTAAATCCGCGTTGCAAGTCTTTTAGTGGAATAGATTTACAGCTCCGATTATTGAAATTAATCAAACGCTGGTAGAGTTTTTAATATGCTCACCTGGTCGACCTTGCATCTCACGCCACATCCCTCCTCGGAGCTCGAGTCGTCTGTTCGATTCTAAAACAAAAACACAAATTATCAGTATTAGGATTTACAGTTGTCATTAAAGAATTAACCTTTGGAAATCCAGGTAGTCAAGTCCCTACAAACCTTTGCAATTAGCACTGAATTTTATGATGTAGGCACAGAAACTGTGAAACAGCAACGAGACAGCATTTGATTTATTATAGGTTCATTAGACATAAAACAAAATTATTAACGAGTCTTATAAAATCTATGAACAGTTACTATGAAATATTAATTGTGAAGTATGCCTGCAACATGTTCGAACCTATAAGTATATCTAGACACGAACGACAGAAAATATCTAATTCTTCTTTCAGATACGTTTGAACTGATTTTATAATGAATTATGCATTTAATATTTTATACAATAAGTTCAGATTAGATGTGATTCTCTCGTTAGTTAATATATTAACACATTATCGTCAACAGCTGTCTGAAAGGCGGTTGGAGCAGTTAGGTTCATTTATCAATTGCAGTCCCTTAGACAGTTGAGATATCGTTATTGTTTCTTAATTACTTTCATCTGATTATTAAAAAACTGTATTAATTAAATTAACTTAATAAGACTTCGTTTAATTTGGTCTTTATTCGAAGAAATAGAGAAAATATTTGTTTGGCTTTTTCATAGAAAATTTAATTTTCTCCGAGAATTATATACGTGAAACTTCTTTATTATAAGATTCTAAATATCATTATCAACGATAATAAAATAATTTTACAGGAAAAAAATAATCACTCTCAAAATCCTGGGGGACAAATTTGTACCTTTCCTTAAATTTCATAAATAGTAATCAATAATTAAAAATTTGAACAGCTCCATAGAAACGACTATTCTCAACGAAATGTGTAAAATATTTTCTCATCGATGGTAGTCGACGATAAAACCTACGAAAGCGACAGTTTCCACGCGCGTTGATTTAATTTCACGTAGGGACAGGTGACACCGAGTTCTTGAATAAACATGAGACAATTAAACATGCATAGGAACTAACTCCCGAAATTCCCATGCAGGTACGTGTGGTTTCACACCCTAGTTATCGGCAACCGAATTGTTCGCAACCCTCGATCCAACCGACTCCTCGCGTTCCCTCCCTCTGCTTCGACCAATTTGCTTACGTTTCCATTAAAAACCGGACGTGCACCTGTGTACCGGAAGCGCCGTAACGTACAGGTGCAAACGGCGCAACGACAACGTTATCCGAAATGATATCAGGAACCTGCCACGATTATTTGGCGATTCATTCGCGACAGGCTAGGTACACCGGGGGTATCAATTGAACCGGATGAAACAATTTACTATCTTTTAAAGCTGGCAAGCGATTCAATTTATTTTCTACGGCCCCTGCACGTTACGTGACCGTGCCGTTGCCGCCATTCAAGCAACATTTTTTTTTTCAACCTGTTTGCAAACACGAAGCCTAGAAGCAGTCAACAAAATTAACAAAATTAATTTCACAAGCCCAATGCAGGCATCGATTAGCTTTGAGAATGGTCAGATAATAAAAACGTTGGGTTTTGGGGGCCAAGAATTGATATTAAAAAATGGCCTACGATCGATAAACATCATGCATTCTCTAAAAGACTAGAGCCAGTATTTCATTGCAACTTTCATTTTCATGATTTGGGGTCATAATATGGACTAGAACTTGCTTCTTAGAATGCTGTTGACTATTATAATAAACCACTACAAAATAAAATGGTAGCTTTTAATGGTAACCAGTTTGGAAACTTACTTATTATTGATAGAAAACTTAATATTGCTAAATGTATTTAATTATTGAGAATTTACTTTCATCCTTGGAATTAAACTGACAAATTCTAAGAACCGAAGAAACTAAAAAACAGATGAAATCGAATATCCAGATATTTCCAGATGCTCCGTGTGGAAAATATAACAATTGGACAGTTTCGCGTAAGAAAACGTTAACCCGGACCGCTGTTCTCTGTTTTCACGCGAACAACAGCAGCCACGACGAGTGACGAGTCCTCTGATAACAACAGCCGGAGAAACGGTGCAGTGTTTTCGCGACTATCGCCACTCAGCGTGGATGTATCAATTTTACGATGAATTTTTTTCTTTCTCTTCTTTCTATTATGGAAACATCTCCGTTGTCCGTTCCTTGCCTTCCGACACGAATGCTCGTTTAACTTTGCACCCGATTAATCAAACCGTACGGACTGCAACACTATATGAAGCGAGTACCCCTGCGACATCGCCAGTCCGCACGCTACGATATTCGCAATAATAATCCATTTTCCTACGACAGAATAAATCTACTCGAACTTCTAATTCGTTCTCAATTTCCACGTGTACTTCTGTACATTGTATTAATCACGTTCTTCCTTCTTTTTTCTGCTTGACGTATCGCTTTTTATTTTTCTTAGTTTTAGTCACGGTCGATATTGCCTTGCCCAGTGACAGCAAGCTGTGAGTTTAGTAACAATATACAATTAATAAGCTATATCCTATAATTAGCCATTAGAAATATCACTCGAAGTGAAATCAGACATTATGTTATATTATAAAAATTCAAAATGACGTGGATTTAATGTGATATTCTTTGACAATTCAACTTCGTTTATTAGAGATTTAATTTGTGTCTTTAATGGTTGGAAATGATAGTTGTTCTTTAATTTCTTTTGCATCCCTCTCTTGTATACTTTCAATCACTCTGACTTGTGTAGTTCTCTTGTCTTAATCACAACGCAAATAATTTACACAAATATTACAGACGAAAACATATTGTAAATTACCAAGTAAACTAAAACGATATAAAAATTTTATAATAATTACAAATCTCTGCCTATAAAATAGAAATTATTTTGCACCAAACTTTGAAAAAAAAATTAAATATTTTAAAGCAAAGATTCGTCGACATAAATACCGAAGCGTATATCAGTACCTAGTTTTTTTCGAAACATTTTTCATTTATTTTTAGAGAACCTATTTGTTAGGGTCCTGAAGTACCAGATGCAGATTGTTAATTTTCGAAAGTTTCCAATGGCTCTCGAGGCCCGATTATCGCGTTCATTTTCAGACAGTCACTTCGTTTCATTGCCATACCTTCGTCCTTGCTTCCGTTCCCACTAAAAGGAGCACGATGTTACCTGTCGTTCTCAAGACGGAAATCAGCCTGTAAAGAGCTGTTTTATCTGATCTAAGGTAATCGCCTAATGCGTACCTGCTCGTCCTTCCGCATGTCCTTCCGTCGTGTTCAACGTCTTCGCCACGCTCGAAAGCGTTCGCCAACTGTTGCGTCCCTCTTCCAAGTCGCTGTGACGTTGATGATTGGATATAATGACTGGCCTCTGTCGTCCCCCCAACACGATGCACGCAAGACGGATTTTCATCGACACCCTTCATTCTCAAGGTTTCTACTGATTATTACCATTTTAGGACGCCGATTACACGTTTGTCGTTACTTGTAATCAGCGTTTCGATTATTAGACGTGCGAACTGTTCTGACGGTACCAAACATGTTACGTAAACGTTACTTATATGGTAGACCATCGATTATCCAAACTAATTGGAAGCCAACAACATTGGAATAGTATTTCCTACAAATAAACAATACGGTGTTCCCCAAGAGTTAATTGTAATCACCTTATTTTTCCTGAGACTAAACAACATCGTTAAGAATGTTGTATGTATGTGTAAGATAAGTAAATCGATCAATTATGTAAACACATAACCCGTGTTCGTATTAACTTCGTAGATACAATTCTTCTTGGTTACCAGTCCACAGGATTAAGTTCGTCGATCAATTTGCCTTTGAATCTTTCATCTACGCTCTCATTCTCCCAATATTCAGATACCTTACAATGGGATGGCTTCGCTTTCAGGTCATAAATCTTCCCGTTATAGTGTCCAATTAGAGAAGCTAAATCTTGCAACGATGAAAATCTTCTTTTCCTGTTACGTTCCACGTGTGCTCCCGTGGCATGTTAACAATCACCGCGTGCACTTAGGACTAAGGAACACAGTATAACCTCGATTCAGAGGACTAATTAGAGCAGGAAGTGTCCGTTAAATCCAAATGTCCACAAGACAAGGTTTACACAATACCAAGAGTCTGTTAAATAACAAGTCGTACGCTTTAACGCGGAATAGAATACGTTTCCTTTTCATATTCGAAAGTACTGTGCTAGCACAGTATCAACAATGATTTATAGGAAATTTTTTTCTGAAGTAGAGCCTACGGGTACTTACAAAAAATTATTAGACAACTTCTCTATAGAGCGTCAAACAAAATTACTAAAAATCAAAAACGAGTTTTTAAGAAAAATGGACAGGGGGTAGGTGCCTGAAAAAAGAAAAATTCAAATCGTTCTGGAAAAATTATTTTCGGTTGCGGGGGTCAATTACAATCATTTTTGATAAATAGACATACCCTCGAAATCATAACCATTTTCGAGAAAAAAATTCCTTATCGGAAATATAATTTCAGGCCAGAAATGTTTCCCCGAAATTTCATACATATAAAAAATCGTAATTTCAGAAACGGATTAGAGTGTTTCAATGTTTCAAAATACAAACAGTACGTATTTTGATGGAGAATATTTAGAAATTCTAAAAATATTCGAAAAGTTGTTCCTTAATCCGGTAAAATAACAAGAAAACCCATAAAAATGGACCAATTCCTCATTTTTATCATTTCATATGTAGGTATAGTCCAGTTATCCGGCATTGCCCCAGTCCTAACTATGCCGGATAATTGGAATTTTACTGTATAATGCAAAAATCCAGTCGAGTAAATCTTTTACAATTTTTACTAGAAATTATAGATGGATTTAATGTTAAGAAGGATAAAAATGTTTTTGTTTATAAAATTGAGGACATTAAGCGTAAATGAATTAAATTAAAAATTGTGCAGAATAATAAAAAGTGATTTTTCCAAAGGGGAAAAAAGTACATTGAGCTGTTAGTTCGCCATATTGTATGTTTATTTTAATATAACTTGTGTTGAACATTGACACCAAAAGACCACTAC